GTGCGTGTGTGTGTGTGCATGTGTGTATGTGCGTGTGTGTGTGTGTGTGTGTGTGTGTGTGTGTGTGTGTGTGTGTGTGTGTGTGTGTGTGTGTGTAAACTGATCTAAGTTTCTGAGTCCGGTGACACTCCTCCAAAGCCAAAGGCATGTCATGTCAGGCTGGTTGGAAAGTCAGAGCAGGTGGCCTGAGATCTCAGCTTGGTTACCACCTTGGCCACATCCACCCTGAACTCGGGTGCCCGCCTCATCTGTAACATTGTGTGGTGAGCACCTACCAACTGATGTCATTGCTTGAAGGCTTAAAGAAAATAATATGCTTAAATTCCCTGCTAGGAGGGCTAGACAATATTTTATGTTTCTTTCTTTTTAAAAAAAATCACTTTGTTGGGAGCCCTTACAGATATTATAACAATCCATAATTCAGTTAGATCAAGCATTGTACAATTACAGCCACCATCATTTTCAAAACATTTCTTTCTTCTTGAATTCTTTGATATCAGCTCTCCTTTAACCCCTTCCTCCCCCACCCTACCCCCCAGGAACTCTTATTCTTATATTATAAATGATAATAATAATCATTTATTTGGGTCACTTCTTACAGCATCCACTCGATCAGTCCCCCTACAATTCCCCTCCAGTGGAGTTATACAGGCATCTTTGCTATCGGACCCCTTCTCCCACCTCCCCCCATGTCTCTTCCCATACCCCTAGGGGATCATTTTATATTTCTTTAAAAATCATGTATTTCTAATTGCATTCTTTTTTGCGACCTCCCAGGGAATATGTTATCTTGATTTTAAAACCAGGGGAGAATGTTACTTCCAAGAGTGTTGACTCTCTAGCACAGGAAACACAAGGGCGTGACTCAAAGAGTCTTCAAAGGACGATGAGCCTCTCCTGGGGTTTTCCAGCTCATTCTGAAGCCTCACATTTACCAGTCTCCTCTGTGAATAGGCCGGGGCTTAGCCTTGTGCTCAACACTGTCAGGAAGGAGGAACTATGTGAAGGGTCGTACCTCCACCAGGATTTTTTGTTTCTCAGGATTGAAGGAGGGCTGAAACCCACATTTCCAGATTCTTGGGTGGCTTGGTCAACAATCTCACAGTCCCTGACTGCCCCCTCCAGACTGCCCCCAGTACATGTGGTTAGGGTCAGCCCCTGAACTCACGGAGCCCCCATGCGCAGTGGAGCAAAGCACTGCCTGCTCCTGGTGTATGATTTGCTGTGGATGAGATGATGGTGACCCGGAGGGTTTTCATTGGTTGGTTTGTAGAAGTCGATGGTCATGCGTTTCTTCGTAGTCTGTCTTAGTCTACAAGCTCTGCTCAGACTTGTTCAGCGTCAGAGCAGCACACAGCTTCCAGGGAGAGATGGGTGGTGGCTGCACAGGTGGTAGCCTGGCTGGGAGTTAGTGGAACCTGGGTCTCCCACGGGAGGGTTTGATCCCAGAACCACTACGGAGCAGCCCTTGAAGTTCTGTTGATGATTGTCTTCGTTCCTGCACTATTCCTGCCTTTTCAGCCTGGTGTTTGCAACACTGGGGCAGATGATTTAATATATCCATTTCCCTAACTAAAAGGCCTAACGATTCGAGTTCACCCAGAGCCAGCTCCAGAAAGAAAGGCCCGGTGATCTGATTTTAAAAGTCGGCCATGGAAAACTCCATGGGACACAGTGTCATTCTGATTTACGTGGGGTCGCCGTGAGTCAGAATCGATTCCACAGCAGCTGGTCGGGTGTTTTTTCCACCTCAGCACCTACCCACACACATGCCCACAAGAGATGGAAACACACCAGCAAAGCCACATAGCGAATTTAATTAATACAAGGCTCTCCGCTGGCCACAGGGGGAATATGTACTTCATCTGCTGAGTTCATGGCTGTCTTCGTCTCACAAGATCCTGTCGCGGCAACCACTGAACGATAGCGGTCAAGCTTTCCTTTATGATCAGAACATTCCTCAGGATTTCGTGTGTCTCCTTCCCTGTCCACCAAAGAGAAGAGCAGCGAAGTGGTTTTCCTTTTGACTAAAGTTCGGAATGCCCAAAGAAGAGGTGTGCCTGAGCCCCACAGAACATATAAATGCACATGTGACCATGCTGTCCTATATGACTGATGACGAGGGAATCTGGATATACATGTTTAACTCTTTATGTTGACAGCTTGTTTTTTTCCTAGTCTTCTTTTGAGCCTATTTTGAAGAATTGTTTGTTTTTAATCCATACTCTTATTCTCATCCAGTTAGGATATTATGTCAACTCATGAAAGCCCCCTACAAAATAAAGCAGAATTAGGGGAAGACAGAAAGACATGGAAGACAGTGTGTGGGGGGGGTGGGGGGGTTGGCAGTGGGAGTGGGGGTGAGGAAAAGCAAACAATTGCTTTGGTTTTTAAATATGGGTTAGGAATTTCAACCATCAACAGTTAATGGTGAATAGATTAAAGTTGTAAAGGATTTCATTTGATTTGCATCTACCCGCATGGAAACAGGGGTAAAAGCCAATATAAACAGCATAGTCCATTGGGCAAATCTGCTGCACAGGATCTCTGTAAACTGTTAAAAAGCAACGATGTCACTCTGAGGACTAAGTTATGCCTGACCCAGACCATGGTCTTTTCCATTGCTTTCTCTGCACGTGGAAGCCGGGCAATGGATGAGGAAGACTGGGGGTGCATGGATGCATTCCATTGTACTGTTGGAGAAGAATATGGAACCGTGCTTCTAGAAAAACAAACCAAACTGTCTTGGAGGAAGTACAATCAGAATGCTCCTTCGAAGCAAGGATGTCAAGACTCAATCTTATAGTCTCTGGACATGCTCTCAGCAGCAACCACGGCCTGCAGAAGGCTGTCAAGCTGGGACAGCAGAAGGTTCAGTGACAAAGCAGACGGCCGTCCAGTGACCGCAGCCATGGGACTGACGCAATGGCTGCAACAAGGGGCTTACATAGAAGCATGGCAAGGATGACAAAAGATCGGGTAATGTTTCGTTCTGTTGCATGCAGCGTGGCCGTGAGCCATCGTGGACGTGGTGGCATCAAACAGCTCTCAAGAAGAACAGGGGTGGGCAAACTTTTGAAAGAGAAGAGCCAATCCTGTCCCTCCTAACAATTTAATAATAATTTGAGAGTCATATATTAAAAACAACACAACAGATTAAGATGACCATAAATACATATAGCCATCATAAAAGAATAACATCATAAAAGAATAACATTATTTCAATTTCACTTCAGAGACACATGTAAGTACTGAAAGCCACAACAGCTCAGGAGCCGAAGCTGGCCAGTCTCTGATCAAGAATGGAATTATAGATTCCCATCAGTTGGCTACTAAGAAAGGTACGGGTAATTGGAAATATAATGAGTAAGGACACCAAGAAGGGACTAGGATAGAGAGATTGCCAAGACACAGGAAACAGAACAAAGGAAACAGTGAACACACGGCAATGAGCGGCAAAAGGAGATGAAATCAAGACAGAGAGCGGCCAAAGCGGAGAGTCCAAGAAAAGGTAAAGAGACTAAGATATTTTAATACGTAGAGCACTGGCTTATGCATCTAGTTAACTTAGATGATGAGTATTACAGTTTCTATCTTCAATGCTCAGTTAAAAATCAAAGGCAGTGCATTTTGTTATTGCCTGTCTTTTCCTTTATTTAGACCCTAATGACCCTGGTTGATTGGGATTATTTGGAATTCATTCCATTTGGAAAGCAAGGGTCTTGGCCCCAAGTTGGCTGCCACGTTTACCATTCCCTTCTATTTGCATTATCTAATTGACAGGATTAAAAATGTCGTTCTTCACACCCAGGATGGTGGAACACTGCCTTTCAGGATTGTTCCAATAAAAATAAAAATATCTCACTCCAACTCACTACCATCGAGTCGATTCTGAGTCCTAGCGACCCTATAGGACAGGGTGGAACTGCCCCTCTGGGTTTCTGATACCAACTCTCTACAGCAATCGAAAGGCTCAGCTCTCTCCCAGAGTGGCTGGTGGGTTCAAACTGCTGACCTTGTGGTGAGCAGGCCAATGCATAACCACCATGCCACCAGGGCTCTTTAAAAAAAAAGGGGTGGTGGTGGAGGGAATTATGTACAGGAAAAAGAAAGAAGCTTTAAAAAGTGTTCTAACTAACCTAATGGATTTTTCATTCTGATAGACAGTCATGAGAATACGTACCAGCAATGGCCATGGAGAGAGTCCTTCCTGTGTCCCGGGGCATGGAGGGTCTTTGGATGGTCACCTTACTTGTGTTAGTCCTGTCTTATCAGCTTGGTTTTTGAAACACTGGCATAGAGAGTTTACTAAATTGATTTCTCTCAATATTTAATTTTCTGGCATCCTAAGGCTGAAGTCAAGGTTAGTTTTTAACCAGAGTAGTTAAACATTCAGTGTGTTTGGGAATTTCAAACACAACAAAAATCCTTATTTCCATTCACATCTGGCAGCAACCTCTCATGGAGAATGGTCAAACCTGATTGAGTCTCTTTAGCTGCTGAACTTTGTCCCCTCCCTCTTGGTCATTTCATGAGCATTACCCCGGCACCATGGGTGATTCATCCCAGGCGAGTTGGAATATGCCACACTCCCTATCATCTATTGGATGTTTCACATATAATGTACACACATCGTTGATGTGCACACGCATGTAGCGTGCGTACGAAACTAAGGCAAGAAGAGGTCCTGCAATTTGAAAACAAACAAACAAACAAACCCAAACATAATGCATGTACTATTTGCATGGAAATGTGGTAAATTCATAATTTTGCAGATTTGAAAATTGACACTGAGGGGCAGGAAGTGACGTAGTTGATCCAGTCAGTGATGGTGCTGTTGTTATTCGGTGCATCCAGTCAGTTCCAACCCCTAGCAAGCTATTGCACAATCGGACGGCACATCGCCAGGTCCTGTGCCACCCTTACAAATGTCCCTGTGTTTGAGCCCATTGTTACAGCCACAGTGTCAACCCCTCTCGTTGAGTACCTTCCTCTTTTTTGCTGCCCTGCTACCTTACCAAGCATGAAGTCCTTCTCCAGAGACAGGTCTCTCCTGACATGTTCAAAGTATTTAGGACAATGTCTCACTGTCCTTGTCTCTAAGGAGCACTTGGGCAGCACCTCTTCCAGACAGATGGGTTTATCCTTTGAGCCATCTATGGTACTTTTAAGAATCTTCTCCAGCACCACAATCCAAATGTCGTCTTCCTTATTCAATGCCCAACTTTCACATGCATATGAAGCAAGGGAGAATACCATGATGTGGTATTAGTGGCTATTAGTCCTCAAAGTAACATCCTTGCTCCTCAATATTCTAAAGAGGTCTTATGCAGCTGATTTACCCAAAGATCTTTTGATCTCTTGACTGCTGCTTCCCTGAGTATTGATTGTGGATCCAAGAAAGACAAAGTTCTTGACAACTTCAACCTTTTCTCCATGTATCATGATGATACCAGTTGTGAGGACTGGGGTCTTCTTCACACGAGTGGTAACCCGCACTGTTGTTGATGGCGCACCAGAGAGTGCCGCCAGTCCTTCTCACTTTCAGCAAGTACAATGGTGTCATCTGCCAATCTCAGGCTGTTCATGAGCCCTCCTCCAATCCTGATGCTGCATCCTCCAATCCTGATGCTGCATCCTCCAATCCTGATGCTGCATCCTCCAATCCTGATGCTGCATCCTCCTTCTTATAATCCAGCTTCTCTGATGATTTGGTCCGCATACAGATTGAATCAGTACAGCAAGACGATGCAACTCTGACACACTCCTTTCCCGATTTGAAGCCATGCAGCAGCCCCTCATTCTGCTTGCACAGAGAGAGAGGACAACACGCGTGTTCATTCCAATTCAAAACCCTTCGGCTTCTCTCCAGTACTGTTCATATGTTCTAGAACCTTCTCACTCTTCTCTAGCCATCCTTGAACGGACACCTTTGCTTGTGCTGGCCAGTCTCTGCGCTTGCCAAAGTGAGCCTCAGTTAATGAAAACGGAATTAATTAAGAAGGATACTTTGGGAATGGCTGTGTGAAGAGTTGCCAAGGTCTCTTCTCCAAAGGCAACAAGGAAACTGGACACCACAGCCAAAACAAGCACTTAAATACTTTGGAAGATGTCCAAAGTGCACAACAATTTGAGAAGCATTATTCAAGAAATGCTATTAAATCCAAAAAGAACAGTGGAAATCTGGTGAGTTCACCTGGGACCTCCACATCAATTTTCTCAACTCTGTGGTGCAGAAGGAATCACCGGGAGGCACAAATGGTTAAGTGTTGGGCTACAGACAGAAGAACTGGCAGTTCAAAGCCACCCTGAGGGAGCCAGGAAGAAAGTGCAATAAATGGCATGGCAGGTGGCAGCCATGTCTGACCTCCTTGGGCTTCTTATTACCACAAGGCAGAGGTCAGATAGGCCTCCAGCCTCCATCCTTCTTTACTCTGCTCTAATATCAACCATTTCTCCCAGGACACCCGACTTCTATCCTTGATTCCTTGTTATGGGAGCAAAGAGCTCATAGACAAATGCTCACGATTGAGGGGTGGTGGTGGGGTAGGTACATAATTTGATGTCAACTTGAAGATACATAAAAGTGTAGGGGTGGAAGTTAGCCTGTCAATCAAGTCACAGCCGGATGGTATTATTGCAAATGCAGTTAGGTTAAAATGGTGTTCAAATTTAACCTCACCGCATTTGCAATAATCCGCTTTCCAATGAACTTTCAATGATAGCAAGGCGATTCGCATCTCTGGTCTGTGGTCCGAGGAGATTCACTGAAGGTTTAATTCATGAATATTTACCCTCCCATGCCCCCTTTATTTTGTAACCTGAAACAGCATTAAAATGGGTCAAAAGGGAGATCAAGTGATAAGATATTACAGTTTAAACTAACAACACCTGCCAATGGACACTGAGTAAGAAAGACACTGTTGAGGAAGGAAATTATTCGTGTTGCGGCCGGTCTTTCAGGCGGCAGTGCATGGATATTGTTGGCTCGTATAGATTAAAAATTAAGGCGACTGGAGACTATTTCCATGAACAGTGAAGGTCGGGGCTAGGAAAGCCTTTCATAACACTCATTCACACAGGCAGAACCAGGCCTGCCTCACTAATACATGTCATAAGTGAGCAAAGAGAGCATTACAATAGCAAATATGTGGCAGTCCTGGGTCACCATCCCATTGGGCATTGTCAGAGCAGGAGATCAGAAGCAAAGTCCAAAGACCACCAGTTCTGTAACCTTGAGATAGCAGTCATCTGCATTTTCTCAGACTAAAGAGTTTCAGCCTTAAGTTCAAGGGCTACAGGTGAGAAAAATAATATGTCTTATTTGGAATCATATTAATGACACAGATATGTAAAATTAAAGTCCCAGAAAGAAAATGAGGGGGGAAAATAAAACCCCTTAAAGACATAATTTTGAGCATTTCAATATATAGATTCAAGAAGTCCAGCAAACTTCAAGCAGAAGTTCAAAAGAAGAATACAGAAGCAAAGCACCTCATAGTCAAACAAATGAAACCAAGACAAAGATGAAGTCATGATCAATGCCCAAACATAGATCTTAGCTTTAGAGGGCTACAATAAGAATATTCAAAAGAAACCACAGAAACTAGAAAATAACAAAATATCTTCAAAATGCTAATAGGCTCCGAATAAAAAAGTATCAACTCAGAAGTATATGCTCAGAAAATGTACTTCATAAGTGAAAGAAAAATAAAGATGCTTTCAGGTGAAAAAATTGTCCCCAAATTTGTACAAGCCCGCGTGAGCTACAAAATAATAATCAATGGAATTCTGCTAACCTGGAAACGTGATAGAAGATATGCATAAACAATTGTTGGGAAGATCTACAAAGACAGCAAGTGGATTAATAACTACTTGGGGGCATGGACCAGAAAAAGATGGGGCTTTCTACTCCTGTAAAGAGTTGTATGCAGTCTTGGGCACTCACCGGGGCATTGCTATCGAGTCCTATAGGGTCACCACGAGTCAACATCGACTCAGTAGCAGTGAGGTTTGAGCAGGGCATGGAGAGGTGGGTGTGGGGGAAATGGGGGTCAGCAGCAATGGATATAAGAAGGAAGAAAATGTTCCATAGCTGATTAAGGTGAAGATTGCATAACCCACCTTAATGTGAATGCACTATAGATTGTATGCTATGTTAATTAGATCTCAATAAAAATACTTTTAAAAACAGCTGGAAAATGAAGAGAATCAGAAAGTTTAGCTCTCTGAATAAAAGTAAATGAGTACTGACCATTTGAATTTGCAATAACAGCCAAGTCTTGTAAGATACATATTATCTGCGAGGAAAATTTATGAAACAAGCACACAGATGGTATCTAATGACTAAACAGAATTCACTTGCAGGAGGGTTCTGGCAAGGCAAAACTATGAAGTGGCAAAGTACTAAGTTAAAAGTAGGTCACATAAATAAAAATGCATGTTTTAATCTCTAGGGTGATAACCACAAATAAAGTAATTAAGACTGACAGCTAATAAATAAAAAGCACAGAATTACAGCAAATACTTTATTAATCAAAAGTCAAAGAAGATAGTAGAGAACAAATGGGTTACATAAAAATCAAATAGCAGGATAAAGATAAGTCATTGTATTACTAGTTATCTTCAAATAAAATCAACGTATCAAAGTGTCATGCTTCACTTTAAATCTTCGAGTACATAATACTTACAAGAGATCACTTTTAACATAAGACCCTCAACTCACTCACTCACTCACTGCCATTCCGTCAGTGCTGACTCACAGCGACCCTGTAGGACAGGGTAGGCTTCCAAGAGGGTAACTCTTTACAGGGGTAAGACCCCTCATGTTTCTCCTGCAGAGCAGCTGGTGGTTTCAAACTGCTGACCTGGGGGTTAGCAGCCTAACTCGTAAGGACTATGGGTTCCAAAAGATAAAGTACAGAAAAGTTAAATGCGAAGGAAGGCAGAAAGTTATAGTATGGTCATGCTCAACACACTCCCTCTATGGCCTCTAGGGGGAGCACAGAATCCACTGAACAGAGCCCAGCAGCGCTGGACAGAAAGGGAAGGACTGAAAAAGCAGGGAAGAGATAAGACCGAGAGAGCACTCACTGCCATCGAGTCGATGCCAACTCATAATGGCTCTGTAGGACGGGGCAGGACTGCCTCTGTGAGTTTCCAGAGCTGTAATCGCTTGCGGGAGTGGACAGCCCAGTCTTCCTCCTGCGGACCGGCTAGCGGTTTCCAACTTCAGACTTGGCCGATTGCAGGCCGGAGCGTGACCACGGTACCTCCAGGGCCCCATAAAG